GATTTTTATTGTTTTTGTTCTACATTGCCAAAAGAGAAGATCATCATGGTTCTACATTCAAGAGGGAGAATGTTAGAAGATCTTTCTCAAATAATGATCATTTGAAGTTTCAAGTTGGAGATTGTTTTTGAAGAAGACATAGAATGCTTAAAGCAACAAAGTTCAAACGAGACTCAAAACATGCAAATTCTTTGAAGTCTTGAAAGTTAATTTTGTCTATAATGGTATTAAAATCACCGTGTTTGACTTTTCATATATAGTTTGACTTTGACTTTGTCTACATGTTTGACCCTATATAAAGGGTAATTCCTTTGTAATTTGAGAAGGATTCTTTCATTTGTAAATTTAGATACGTAGAGTAAAGTAGACCACTTTAACATATTCTCTCAATCTTCTTCCAAGTGTTCTTATATGAAAAACATAGATTGCCATGGATTCGTACAAGATTATTGAAGATTGATCATAACAGGGACAACAATTTATGAAACTTTTAATAAGTTTATTTGTATTTTGTAAAATGCAAACTTTAACCCAATTTCGATTATTTATGTCGTTTAGTTACCAAAATGACCCTATAAATGGAAAATCAGTATTTTAGCAATACTTTGTGTATTTGCTTCCAAAATTTACCAAAATAACCATATATCTTGGGGATTGGTCTATGAGCTTCATTTTTATATTATTATTTTTATAAAATTACCAAAACGACCATATATTTGGAAATCGGTATTTTAGCGATACATTACGTATTTGCTTTATAAAATTACCGAAATGACTCAATGTCTTGGGAATTGGTACGTAAGTGTTATTTTAAATATAATCCTTATGAAATTACCAAAATGACCCTACAATTTGGAAATCAGTATTTTAGCGATACTTTACGTATTTGCTTTATAAAATTACCTAAATGACCCAATGTCTTGGGAATTGGTACCTAAGTGTTATTTTAAATCTAATCCCTATGAAATTACCAAAATGATCCAACAATTTGGAAATCGATATTTTAGCGATACTTATGTATTTGCTTTATAAAATTACGGAAATGACTCAATGTCTTGGGAATTGGTACCTAAGTGTTATTTTAAATCTAATCCCTATTAAATTACTAAAATGACCCTACAATTTGGAAATCGGTATTTTAGCGATACTTTACGTATTTGCTTTATAAAATTACTGAAATGACCCAATGCCTTGGGAATTGAGTGTTGTTTTAAATCTAATCCCTATGAAATTACCAAAATGACCCTACAATTTGAAACTCGGTATTTTAGCGATACTTTACGTATTCGCGCTATAAATTATCGAGAGGACCCTATATCTTGGGAATTGGTATCTATGCTTTATTTTGATTATTATCCTTATGAAATTACCAAAATGACCTCAGAATAAGGGAAGCGGTATTTTAACAATACTTTGAGTATTGCTTAATAAAATTACCAAAATGTCCTATGCTTTGAGATTGGACTTTTAAGCATAGTTTTAATATTCAACTTATGCAATATAACAAAAATGTTCTAAATTAGGGAATTGGTTAAAGATATACCTTTGGTATTTGGTTTCTTGAGATTTACCAAAATACCCCTAGAATTGGAAAATTGGTATTCTAAACATTATTTCGAGTATGAGTTATGTTGAACTTTAAAGTTATGAGATGACCATCATTTATATGGGTGTGACATGTTGTCACCGTTATTCACTTACGAATTTTAAAAGAGACGTTTTGACCACAAAACATTATTTACGTTGCAAACTATTTAGTTTAGTTATTTTGTTAAAATACTTATTGTTCAAGAAAATGTGAAGTGTATTGCACATTTTTATAAAATGTACGAGAAACAATTAATATTATGACGACGTCACATTATTTATAATATTTCAAGATAATATTTGAGCGAACTTGAGATATGATGGTATCGGGGGTTGATCAATAAAAATTGTTAAGTTTAGTTGTGCTAAGATTGTTGGAAATTAACGATCAATTTAGTTTCGATTATTTAAGATGCTTAGGAATAGTATGAATTATCATGTAGGTTGTGTTTTTTAGAGAACGACCCTATCAAATGTTAACGATTTAAGGTGAGTACAGTATGCGATTTTTATGGGATATATACATGATTATTACAAAGTATTTTATCCATGATATTTGCATGATGTGTTTATAAGCATATGATGATAACTTGGTTATATTGATGTGCATGATATTTAAGTATATGCATGACATGAAAGGTGATGTTGATGAGAAAGATTATGATGACTTGATATCATCAATATGATATTCAAGTATGTGTATAATGTGGAAAATAACGATGATGTATATGTGATTTATGTTGTCACTTGCATGAGATGTATGTTGCATGTCACGATGAGATTTGCATTAATGAGTGAGTATTACAAATAAATGATATGCAACTAGTATGATTCGGCAAGATTTGTCCACCGTACGGGGTGGGTTGGACATGAAAGGAGGGCTTGCAATTTCGAGGTCTTGGAGTCCTCGTTCATAGAATACGCACATACACAAAGAAAAGTGACGAGCCAAGGCCTCACTTGCAAGATAATAACTAAAATACACTAAAACATTGTTTATATGTGCATGTGATCATGAAACCATATTGTATTCACTAAGCTTTTTGCTTATACTATACATGTATATATCTCAGGTGTCATTTGTCAGTAGACAAGTTGAATGAAGAAAGGCGGGACTATGTTTTAAATCATGCTTGATTAGATATTTTCATTAGCATTGATTACAGTAAAGTATTTTACGCTTCCGTAATTACGTAATGAATCATGTGAAACACATTATGTGTGTTTGAAAATTTAAGTTCGTATTTTTGTTTATGACATAAATTATTAAGAATGACTTCACGGCACTCGAACGAAAGAAAAAAAATCGGGGCATGACATCTTGGGTTAGCCCGTCCAGTGTGTTCCAAAAAAGGGAGGGTTCACAGTCATCACAAATGATAAAAATGAACTTATCCCCACTAGAGTTGTATCCGGTTGGAGAATATGCATGGACTATAGGAGGCTAAACAAGGCTACTCAAAAAGACCATTTTCCACTACCTTTCATTGACCAAATGTTGGACAGATTAGCCGGCAAAGAGTACTACTGCTTCTTGGATGGTATTCAGGGTACAATCAAATAGCCATTTCTCCCGAAGACCAAGAAATAACCACCTTTACTTGTCCTTATGGCACTTTTGCTTTCAGAAAAATGCCATTTGGACTATGTAATGCTCCTGCCACCTTTCAGAGGTGTATGATGTCCATATTTTTAGATATGCTWGAAAAATTCATTGAAATATTTATGGATGATTTTTCTGTATATGGTTCATCGTTTGACAACTGCTTAGATAATTTGAAAAAGATCTTGGAAAGGTGTGAGGAAACAGATTTGGTCCTCAACTGAGAGAAATGTCACTTCATGGTCAAGGAAGGAATTGTTCGTGGGCACTTAATTTCTAAAAGAGGGGTTGAGGTGGATAAAGCAAAACTCGAAGTTATTGAAAAACTACTCGAACCTACCACTGTTAAGGGAATTAGAAGCTTTCTGGGTCATGCCAGATTTTACAGAAGGTTCATCAAAGATTTTTCAAAAATTTCAAGACCTCTCTGTCTACTCCTACAGCATGACAAAAATTTTGATTTTAATGATGAGTGTAGAAATACGTTCAAATATTTGAAGAAAGCTTTAGTCACTGCATTAGTGGTAGTTGTCTCTGATTGGAACAAACCTTTCGAGATTATGTGTGACGCGAGTGATTGGGAGGTGGGTGTTGTGTTAAGACAAAGAAAAGACAAGGTGTTTCATTAAATTTATTAGGGAAGTAAAATTTTGAATGAGGCACAAATTAATTATACCACAACAGAGAAGGAATTATTGGTCGTAGTTTTTGCTTTTGAGAGATTTAGATCTTACTTGATGGGAACAAAGTTAGTTGTACATACCGATCACACGACCATCAAGTATTTGATCTCAAAGAAGGATGTAAAACCTAGGTTAATAAGATGGGTGTTATTATTGCAGGAATTTGACTTGGAGATACTTGATAGAAAGGGAGTAGATAATCAAGTGGCGGACCATTTATCTAGGTTAGAAAAACCTGAGATAGGAGGAGAAGACATTAGTGAGACTTTTCTGGATGAAAGAATCCTCGTGATAGAACAACCAAAAACACCATGGTTTGCGGATTTAGCAAATTTCTTGGCTTGTGGAATAAAACCTTCTGATTACATAGGCCACATGTTAAAAAAATTCTTCCATGATGCTAAATCCTATCTGTGGGATGACCCGTTTTCGTTTAAGCTTGGTGCAGATCAGATTTTAAGAAGATGTGTGCCTGAATCTGAAGTAGGAGTAATCCTGCAGCATTGCCATCATGCACCATACGGAGGATATTTTGGGGGCCAAAGAACTGCAACCAAGGTCCTACAGTCTGATTTTTATTCGCCAACCATTTTTAAAGACTCTCACAATTTTGCACAGAGGTGCAACGAATGTCAAAGGAGTAGCTCCATTTCTAAAAGAAATGAAATGCGACTAAATGGGATACTTGAAGTTGAATTATTTGATGTATGGGGAATAGACTTTATGGGTCCTTTCCCTTCATAAAATAATTGCCAATACATACTAGTGGCTGTTGACTACGTATTCAAATGGATGAAAGCTATGGTATGTGTGTCAAATGACGCCAAAAGTGTGGTTAAGTTCCTCCAAAAACAATTTTTCACATGGTTTGGTACCCCCAGAGCACTAATTAGTGATAAGGGTACCCACTTTGTGAATAATTTGTTAAAAGGATTTCTTGAAAAATACAATATTAACCATAGAGTTGCCACGGCTTACCACCCACAAACAAATGGTTTGGCAGAGCTCTCCAATAGAGAAATTAAAAGCATTTTGGAAAAGTTGTCAAACCCAATAGAAAGGACTGGTCATTCAAGTTAGACGATGCTTTATGGGCATACAAAATCGCTTTCAAAACACCAATTGGTATGTCTCCATATAAGCTAGTCTATGGAAAAGCCTACCATCTACCTTTAGAACTTGAGCACAAAGCATATTGGGCAATCAAAGAGCTAAATATGTCTTTGGATGATGCTGGAAAGAAAAGAAAGTTACAACTGAGTGAAATGGAGGAACATAGACGAATGTCTTATGAGAATGCCAAGATCTATAAAGAAAAGATAAAGAAGTGGCATGACAACAGAATCCAAGACAGAGAGTTGAAAGAAGGACAGAAAGTCCTCTTATTCAACTCTAGGTTGAAATTATTCCCAGGAAAGCTCAAGTCTAGGTGGTCTGGACCTTTTTTCATCCATAAGTTGTACTCTTATGGAGCAGTTGACCTGATCAACCCGAAGAACAACATGGTGTTTAAAGTGAATGGGCAACGAGTTAAGGTATTTCATGATCCTGTAGCATTCCCAGAGCATTACTCTGAGAATTTGGCCACACCTTAGAAAATGAAGGTGTATTTGGACTTTTCAAAGTCCAGTGATGTTTGTAAAGATATTTCCTTTTTATATCTATATATTAGGGCACTTATGTTTTACAAGTTTGGTAATGCGCAGGTTCATTTCAAAAAGATTGTTGAAAAAAGTCGATGCTCTGCTGATGCAGTAACATTCCTATTGAAAATTCACATGTCAAGTTGGGTGGCAATTTTTATAAAGTCAAGGAAGGTACATATTACATCAGATGCCGCCCAGGTAGAATCACAATAGAATTTCTCAGCATTTTCTCAGATATTGTTCCCCATACAAAAATACCCCACTCCCTCCATAATGATAATTCTTTGTAACCACTAGATAACTTCCTTGTCTAGTGGTTTTACCCTTAACCGCCAATTTTTAAGAAAAGAAATCAGGAAGAAGACTTAATTGAGAAGGGACCTTTCATCTTCTCAATAACCACCCATCATCACCGTCGTCGGCTTTTCCCAAGACAACCCCATTATCGCAAAAATCCAAAACCCTCATTCACACCCTCTCTAACAATTTTTCAAACCTACCTCTCAACTCTCACCACTGTTCGATTGTCAAGACCATGGCCCGAGTGAAACGGCCGGCCATCTTGCGACCCACAGCCGGTGCGAAGAAGCAACCGCCAACGAGCGAGCTCCTCGACTTCATGACGAACGGGAGAGCCTGAAATTGTGGACCTCGTCACCAATTGCCCTTCATCCTCACCACCCTCATCGCCATCACCACCTCGACCACAGATAATTCCTCCAAGGGTCGAACTCTCCTTTGCGCGCAAGACCGACCCCGCCGCTCATCGTCGATTATCCACCCGAGTCTCCACCACCTATCGCCATACTCCACCATCCTCACCACCAACTATCGAGGGCTCCTCCAGTGAACCACCCATTACATCACCGGCGATAGAAGAAAAACCACAATCGGGCATTGAGGTAAACCTTATTCCAAGCCCTAATCTTTTGGTAGAGGGGCTCACTGCCTCTGACTCTTCTGAGGAAGAAGAAAATTTTATGCAAATGCAATCTCTATCTGCTACTGATTTGGATGCAACAAGAGTATACCTCTTGACATGGGATGATCACTATCACACACATAAACCCACGGCTGTCACTGATTCATCCCTCACAATGTCGAGGCACTGTGCACCATTTGTTGGGGAAGAGACCACTGACTCCCCAACAATTGAAATGGATTTAGAGGTAGAAATAAGCGGTATAACACCAATACCCACTAGAAAGAGGAAAGGTTTGGGGAAGATGTTTGCAACCAAATCAAAGACTGTAGAGAGATAGCCTCCGAGAAAAAGGGCCAAACGGACACAGTCTATCCAACTGAGGCACACAGCCTTTGCTCCTAGCAAATCCCCTCGAAAACCATCCTTGAGGCATGATGAAACAACAGGTCCATCTGGAGGTAAAACCCAAACATAAAGCACCCAAATCTAAATCCATTTCTAGTCCCCAAATGCCTTTTGATGGGTTTAGTTCACAAAGGGCACAACTAATGTTTGAAAAGATCCAAAACAAAAAGGTGTTGCCGGATAAAGGGTTTGATCAGAGAAGCATTGAGGAATTTGGTTTTATTTGGGGCATGATCAACAAGCACAGATGGAAATTTCTTTGTGAGGTAAAGAATTCTTTTAAATTGACGCTAATTAAAGAATTTTATGCAGAGGCGTGTGTGTGTGTAGTACTACCAAGCTCAAGGTATGGGGTGTTAGGGTAAGCATATATGCTAAGGCCATTAATAAGTTATTAGGCCTATCACCCCCGGCCCAAACTGAGTATAAAACCCTCTCCCAAACGGCTTCTCAAGCCAAATTGGAAGAAATTGGTAGGTAGTTGGGAAAGCCCGGGGCTATGTGGGACTCCCATAGCAACTATATGTTAAAAACTTATAGGGCTTCCAACTTGACCCCGGATGCATATGTATGGGTGATCTTTATTAGGCATTCTCTCAACCCAACCACTCATGATAGTTCAATTTTAGTTGAGAGAATTATCCTACTATATTGTGTGGTCATGGGTAAATCCATTAATGTTGGAGAGGTAATTCAAAAGGCCATCCTCTATTGTTCGAGGAGGAATCAAGGGAAACTATTTTTCCCTGGCTTGATTAACAAATTGCTTGTACAAGCTGGTGTTCCTCATTATACAGAGGATTTGGTGATCAAAGAAAGTGAGGAGAAGTGGACGATCGATATGAAGGCAGTTTCAAGGTTAAGAGAGAGAGGTGATAGAAGAAAGGAGAATAATAGGATGGCAAGGGTTATGGAGGATTTGTTCACGCAAGGCAGTAGCTTGATGAACTGCTTAATAGATCATCGGGCTGAAATGGTGGAAAAGATGGAAAGCATGCAGGCTAAGTTGTTAGAGAAGATAAAGGCTAGAGAAAAGAAAACCAAAAGGAGGTTTTTGAGGCTGAAAGAAGAGCTAGAGGAAGGGGCAGCTGGCAAGATCAAAAAGTTGCAGAAATAGTTGAGGCATTACAAGATGAAGAACGCGAGATTGAGGACTGAAGTCATGTCAAGCACACCAACCGCAGCTGTCCAGACTTCACAGCCTACTCCTACAGAGTAGGACAAGTTCTAACCACTTTCTTTAGCTTCCATATTTTCTTTCTTTTTAGTCGGGAACATTTTTTTTTAGCTTTTTAGTCTTATTTTTATAAATGATCACTTGATTTGAGGGTGTTACATGTGGGATCATAACCCCAATAATTCTATTGATTAATTGTCATTCACTCAAGATATTTTGTTCTTGCTAGAACTAGCAAACCTCTTTTTGTGAAACACTTTGATCACACAATATACATTAGGAAATAAAATAGGCCTTCTTTTCTATGATCATAATAGCCACTTGCACCTTTCGAACACCATTTACTCCATAAAGCTCCAATGAGGACATTATCGTATTCAAGTTTGAGGGAGGAGTGTTGTATAAGAACAAAAGTTCAATACAAAAGAGCAAAACTCTAATTTGACTCCTTATTAGAAAAGGTTTTGAAAAAAAATGCACAACAAAAATCCCATAGGGGCTATGTGCACACTCCCATCAAAATAGGCCAAAATGCCCAAAAATTGAATTCTTTTTATATGTGGAGTATATATATATAAAGAAAAAGGCTATGAGAGAAAATAAATGCCAAAGAGAGTAACCCTATAAGCCCTATTGATCCTAAAAATATATTGTGTTTGAGCTTAACAAAGAAAAAGGTAATGCTAGCTTATGGTTCATATAAAAACTTGGTTTTGAGTGACTCATCTTGAACTTATGAAAGGCTATGAACTTCATAATTGGTATACCACTCATTGGGTGGGCACTTAATGCCTTGATCATGCATTTTTTTGAAAATTGAGTTTTTTTGTTTGTCTTTTGGTTGCTTGGGGACAAGCAACGATTTAAGTTTGGGGGTGTGATATATGTTGAGAATTCAATATATAAAGCACTAATTTTACTTGTTATTAGTTAGATTAGTTTCCTTTTATCCCTACTTTGGGTCATTTTTATTACTTTATTTATACCTTTGTTATTATGGAGCTAAATCTTGTGGTTAACTTGTTGGTACTCAAAGGAGGAAGCTAATGAGGATTTTTGCTTAACAGCTTGATGCTACAGCATTGGAGCAGCAACAATCTGATACGTACGAGGCTTTTTGAAGAACTTATTGATTAAGCTGTTGTCTTTTTGTGCTTAGTAGAAGACAGCTGGAGATGGCTGGCTTGTGATTAAAAATCTCGGATTACAACTTTTTAATATTATTGTATTAACCTGTACTTTAGATGCTCTTTGTATGATTTTTGGGTATTAACTTGTGGGTAAAACTTTTGTTGTCTTGTGACTCCTTTGTGTATAAAAGGAGGTGCTTGGCTTCACTTTGAAGCATACCATCCAAAGCTAAAATCAGCTATCTAAGGCTGATTTATAGAAAACAATTGGAAGAAATACAAGTTTTTGTGTAGCTTTTCATCTTTAATTTCTTGTCTTTTAATTTTCATTCTTTACTTACGCTTCTTTACATTTTCTAGTCATTTACGTTCCGTTATTTACTTTCCGCAATTTACTTTCTTTTCATTTATTTTCCCGTTATTTATTTTCCGCAATTTACATTTATGTCTTTACTTTCCGTCATTTACTTTACTTGTTATTTCCATTCCGTTATGAGTAGCTAAATTTATATAGCTTGGGTGTGAGATGGAAATGTGAGATTTTCAAACCAAAAGAAAATAGCTACGTGTTTCCATAAACGATGTTCCATTGTTTAATTCGAGTTTTTATAAAAACCACTTACACTTCTTGACGGGTTGATCACTTTGAAAGTGTTAAAGTGCCATGGACTTAAAAATAAGTCATTGAACGCACATCAACTTGAATGATATAAGAGGTAGACTTGAGAAAGTTGCCGATAAGGAAACTTGTCATTTATGTCTTTCAAACTTAACTCCCGACGGGTTGGTCACTTTTTAAAAGGGTCAAAGTGCGATAAATTCAGAAATGAACTATCTGGAACACACGCCAACTTGAATGATATGGGAATCGACTCAAAAGAGTGATTTTTAACAAAGAGATTTGTTTATCCATATATTTTGAAGACACCATCTTGTCACTTTCCCTGGTCCGGATACCACATAGAAATATAGGTTGAAAGCTATAATATTGTGCAATGGTGAAGTCTGAAAGGAATACCTTCAAAATAGATGGTGGAACTAAGTTTTGAAACACTGCTTGCTGTAGCATTCCTACAACATTGGCTACTGGAATTTGTGTTTGGGTCTCACCACAAGTCTTACACCCTTGCTATCCTTATAAATTTTCTAATCTGTTTTAAATCACCTTAACTTCAAACAAACTGAAGTTTTCAAAATCATCATCAGAAATCATCTCTTTCATTGGACTCTTAGTAAACTTTTGCTACAATCTCCTTGGACGATAATCCGGTATTTTACCATTCTACTACTTGGAAAGACGATATTGGGCCAT